GTCTGTATTCATGAGTGCTTTGGCAAAGGTATATCATAATTTTCCACCATTTCGTAAACAGCTATGTATATAGCCTCTCCTGTTTTAATATTATATAACAGGGCACTGTCCTGTAATACCTCAAAATGTATCATTCCACATCACAAGTTTGAAGAAATATGCTTATTTGAGTTACATCACTGATATTCTCATTGCATGCCACTCTATCCTCACCTTATGCTATGGAATGTGTAGTAAATCTCAACGTTGTTATTTTCATTTCACAACTCATAGCTTGCGAATTTAAATTTAGTTACTCTCTCAGTGACTGTATTGTGGGACAGTGAGATTTTTTTAAATGAGCTTACATGTAAGGAACTAAGTATTTCAGTGGCTATGACCTAGCAGGCTTTTATAAAACCATCACATGTGAAAGATACTGAGTATTTTGCAATCATCTCCAACAATGCATAGCTTCCATGGCCAGCAACCATATTATTTTGCCTACTTTAGTAAACATACCATATTGCTGTTTCAGTTCCTTCAGCTTGTCTTGTCTTTTATTATTGAACTCTTTATACTGATCGTTCCTAATTGATATATTTGTTAGTGGTCATAATGATGTTTCACATTATGTAATTTAGGTACACATATGCTGAATTTGCACACTCAGCATATATTTTTAACTTTCGCTATATCACAAAAATACTGCAGTTCTGATTTTTCTTGGAATCTGCGAAGACCATCAAGGGCTTTTTCTTTACTACCTCTTGATTTTGAATGAGACGAAATGCACAAGCTGAAATTGATCAAAAACTGTAGATCTGTCAACTGAGTAACTGAACACTGATTTTATCTACCACAATCAACCAACTGCTTAAATAGTACTCAGTGTGTGAAATCTTCGGGAAGAGTGTGGATGCTCATGCAGAAGTTTCAGGCTTTGACCACTAGTTCGCAGGACTGTGCTGATATTGCTCTAAGATTCATGAATCATCACATCACTTGCTGAGCATAAAAAATCATTACAGTTTTGTAAATAAATAAATTTTGATAATGATTTTCTACAACAAAAAATTATGAGGTGAGCAACTATTTCAGTAGATGTTTACAAAATATTTTTGTAAAGAATCTCAAGAGGCCTTTTTTAGTGCTAGGGTTGTATATACACCTCTATTCAGTGGTATTATAAATTTTCTTGGGATGAACCATATTCCTGTTCTAAGCTCAAGAAAATGCATGCTACAGTTTGGGTAATAATTTTAAATGTTTGATTATTCCCTTCAGATACAAAATTGACCTTTTATTTTATAACATAGCAATAAACTCTATACTCTAAGTGTGGTTTTTATATGCTGTCAGTTTTAATTCATATTCAGATGGAAATACAGAAATATTCGACATATCCAAAATTCAAATAATTTAGCGTATTTAAAAAATTGATTTTCAGTCCTTCACTTGTGTATTACATTGTACATGTTGGAAAAAAAAAATCACAATTATTTTATTAAAAAACTGATTTGTATGTTATTTCTGCTTGTGTGATGAATCGTATAAAAGCTCCAAATTCGTATACTGAAAGAAAAATGTGATTTTCAGCATTAGTTTGTGGTTTAACAAATCACATTTTTTTAAAGCATTTTTTTGCACATACTGCAGTCTCCTTAATATAGGTTTTCTGTTGTTATTTACATTTTCCTTTTCATTAAATGATCCAATAAACTTTTTTTATACTGTTTTAGTAATTTATTTCTCAGTCACTTCTTTAGAAACAGCAATTTTAGTATTAAAATATGAGTAGTATTTGTATTGCCAGCTACTATATCATTCCAATGTTCTGAAATCGACACTTCTTAAAGTTCTGTAATGAGCTGAATCATTTTCTTGATTTTGTTATAGTTAAAGCCTGCTTTGCAGAAGTAGTTCATGCTTGTGTGATTTTTTATAAACTTTATTTATTATATGAACTGTGTCAAGGAAATTGGTTTCATTTATGTACATAAAATCATATCTTATTCAAGATTTTTAAAACTACAACAGAACTCATATTCAAAGGAAATATGATTTTAATACACCTAATAAATGTGTACAGTTGTCAAGGAACATCCTAATTTTTCTGCAGCTGTGTAGAATTTTTGATCTTTTAATCCATTTTTAAAGCAGTTGATTATTTCTGCAAGACTTTTCCATTATTAAAATTCAAATAAAAACCTAATTTTTTTGATTGATTGAACATTTTTTATACCAAATTAATAAATAATGATATATGTGTATACATATATTATTTTATTTCAAGCAGAAGTTTTTTCAATTTTATTTTATTTCAATTTTTTTATTGTTATGTCAGAAGAACTGTAATTTCATTAAAATTAGGCAAAAAAGCAGCCTTAGATTAATATAGGCTTTGAATAAATATGTATCAGTGTCCAATCAGGTGCAGGTTGCTGTGGTAGAATTAGCTAAAAGTCTGTGCCAAAATAAGGTTGCTTTTTTTTTTTTTCTCACTTTAAATTTTACATTGGTTTCCTTTTCTTCCAGTTTGAGCTCCTTTAACAGTCAATTTTAGGAAGATGATACACTGAGAAAAGTGAGGTTACATATTCAAGAAAAAGAAAAAAAATTAAATTGATCAGGGTTTAAGGGTTTACTGTCTGTTTGATGCAGTATGATGACATGTAACTTTTAATTATGTGCTTTAATGTATATCTGGTTGTAGGTTTGTACAGACATTAAGTTATTTTGAAGCAGGAGACACAAAAAATGAACAATGCCCTTATTGGGACTCAAATCTTGGACGTTTCGAATACACGCTGAGTGTGCTAACCCATTATGCCACGAAGGCATGACAGCAGGAGGGAGAAATACCTTATATACTCCCCCTTTTAAAAGGCGACTGGGGATTAGGAGATCCAGTCACCAAATCCTGGTGGGGGAAGAATCATCATCCACCACCTTTTAGTTTGGGTGCCACTGTATAGTCATTCTGTTATTTTGATGCTGGAGATGAGACTAATGAGCAATGCTGTTATGGGACTTCTTGAATACACGTGCTAACCTGTTACACCACGAAGACTTGCCGGAAGGAGGGAGAAATACCTTATAGATTCATAATAATTTGGCAATAATCTGCAAGTTTGTTACTGAACATGTTTTTCTATTTAGCTTCATTAATGGATAAGATGCGATTACCTTTGTATTTTTTTACTCATTTTCTTCCAGCTGCCTTTTTTGATTATGCATACCTATTTTATTAGATGGAGGTATAATGTGGGCAGTATTGTAGAAAAGCAGGGTGAGAAGAGCAAAATTTATATAAACTTTGTAACACCCTTTGCCTTATCTTATGATAACTACAGGGTTTCCATTTATTTGAAAAATCTTGAAAAGGTCATAAAAATTTAAATTGCTTTCTATAAAATCAAGAAAGTTTTAAAAAGTGCAACTTAATCTTATCAAATAATAAAAAGCATGTTTTTAATTAGTATCGAGTAAACAAAGATTACACCTCCTAGAAAGCAAGTTACTGTAAACTTTGTTTTTCTTGCAGGAAGTATTTTACTCACTTCATATCTGTTGCAGTTTTACCTCTTAGTTCATAAAGTGTTCTCCACCTATTAGTGGACTGTTCTTCAGTTGTTGTTTTTTTTCCCCCTTCTTCTCTTTAGAAGTGTAACTGTCATTCTAAAATAAGTACTGTAGTTAAAAAATCATTACATTATGTAGTTATACATCATCGTAAGAAGCAATTGTAAGTACTAAATTAATTTTCAGTCCATTGTGATTCTAAACCCTTCAGTTTTATTTTGCAACTCCAAAATATTTATTACAAAAGATGTACATATTACTTATATAAGTTTATTTTTAAGTATTTTTTTATTCATGCATTGTTACCTGTATTTTCTATTTTTGTAGAAAGTAAAACATTTATTAGAATTTGATGTTTTTTGGTTTCGAAAGAGGTGACAACTGTGGGCTTTATTTTCTTAAATATTGAACCTAAATATTAATAATAATGCCAGTTATAAAAGGTCTCAAAATAAAATAGAGAATTTTATGAAAGTAATGTGAACATTTTGAGTAAGAATGTTCCATAAGTGTACTAAAATATAAATTTTTATATGATTGCCATGGAATAATTATAATAATTAATAAAATACTCGTTCTATTATAATAAATTAAATAGAAAATGTTTTCATGTAAAATTTGCGATGACATTCAGAAGCTGGTTTAGACCACTGGTTTAACTGATTTAGACCACTTCCATTATGGACATACTGGTTTAGACCACTTCCATTCTGGACATACTGGTTTAGACCACTTCCATTGGGTAATACCAAGTGAAATTCATACTATATTAGGAAATTTAGAGACTAACTGCAAAACAAAATTCACTTGTTACAGTAATTAATGGATCCATATGGGACAAAAAGTATTTCTTATTAAATTTGTATCTGGTTTGATAAAACTATTTATGTACATAACTGTGAATTTTGCATGTAATGAATGATAGCATAAAGAATATTTTACTGATTGTTTAATAAGTGTCATATACAAAAGTTCCCCATGTCCTGTGTTAAAAATATTTTCCTAAAATTTTCGATTTGGAGAAGCTTATTGGACCTGGAAATTTATATCTAAAATCAGTGTCTGAGAAAATAAAAATAAAGGCTATTTTGAAAAGCTTAGGAGGGGGCAGAGCTTAGTAAAGGCAGTTTTAAACATTCATTAATTATAATGGGGAGTTCTGATTTTTTTAAAGAAATTGTTTATTGATAAATAAGTCTTGTAAAAAAATTAGTAAAAAAAAATTTTTTAAATGTTCTAGTTTCTTTACTTAATATCGGTTTTCAAAATGTATTGATAATTGAGAGTGTTTATTTTTTGAAAATATTAAATGTAAAGTATATTTTATATATTAAGTGATTAATAAATTAAGAAGTAAAATATAAAACTGAAATTATAATTAAGTAACTAATATTATTAATAAATTAAATATATAACTTGGAATTTCTTTTGACTAGTTTGGATGATTCTTTTGAGAAGGAAATTCAAGCAGAAATAGACAGTCTGGATAATATACCAGAAGAGGAGTCTCAGATCATGTACAAAGGTGGTGATCATGTTAGCTGTGAAGATCTTTTAGAATTTGCTTTAGATAAACCAAATGCTCGCAGGTATTTTATCTTTTGATATTATTTTAAATACACTTTTGTCCATAAATTAAGGATAATGCAAAATCAGGCAAAGGAAGAGTTAAAAGCAAAACAGCAAAACAAATTTGACTTATTTGTAAAGCTTATTTATTAAACAAAAGGTAAAAGAGCAAAAAAAGATGCTATATGTTTGATATTATTTAAAAAAATAGCGATTTTTTTTTTCTCCCTGGAGAAATTACAAAAAACACCTATTTGCGAAAAACCAATATTACGTGGTTGGTATGATTGTTAATACATTGTATGTCTCCCAGACGATGCAATACAGTCCGTACAATGCCTAGGCATGCTGAGTATCAAATTATCCCATCTGATCTTGGGGGATATTATACCACTCAAAAAGCAATGCTCTCCGAAGTTCCGGTAGACATGTAAGAAGAGGTTGATGGGCTGCAACTCGTCGGCCAAACATGTCCCACACGTGCTCTACTGGATTTAAGTCCGGTGAGAATGCTGACCAGTTCATATGGGTGATACCCTCCGATTGAAGGCATTCGCTTACGGTGTTTGCACGGTGAGGACGGGCGTTGTCATGCATAAACACAAATTGTGCGCCCATGGTGCCCCGAAACAAACGTACATGTTGTTTCAGAATGACGTCCTGATAGATTTGGCTTGTCGTGCTTCCAGTTTGAACATGCAGGTCAGTTCTGGGACCCAGAATAATTCCACACCAAACGAGCACTCCTGCACCACCGTAACGGTGTCGTTCAATGATGTTTTCTTGGTGGTAACAGGTACCTGGAGCTTTCCATATGAAAGTCTGGTGAGAATCAGACTGCAAGGTAAACCTGGACTCATTGGAAAACATCACATAAGCCCACTGTTGCGGTGTCCACAATGCATGCTCTCTATTCCAGGCTAACCGCAGGCGACAGTGAGTTGCAGTAAGTGGAACGCATCTGACAGGTCTACGAGCATATAGACCAATCTGCCCTAAGCGTCTGTACACGGTCTGCCTTGAAATTGTCGTACCAGTGGCTGAAGAGACAGGTCTGAGGCTGTGCTCCGCCTGTTTCTTTTGGCAGTAACTGCCAAATACCGGTCCTCATTCGGCGTTGTAACTCTGGGGCGACCTGTGCTGTCACGTCTACTCAAAATTACCATCATCTTGGAATCATTGCAAAAGCCTGGAGATGACACTCTGGGCAATTCCAAGTTTGTCTGATACTTCCAGTTGGGTACGCCCACGTTCCAGACTGCCGATAATTCTACCCCGTAAAAAATCATCCAAATGCGTCCTTTGTGTCATAACTATTCGGTTATTGCACTGAAATGCTTATAAAGCACCTGCGAACAATTTTACTTCTTTGCCTGTGTTAGCGGATGGAAAGTAGACTCAAACGTTCGTTACTGCGTTTATTAGACTGTGTGAAGAACAAGTTCGTACAATAGATATACAAGTAGTTCGGCGCTCGCAGGCGTCGCGGCGCGCAATGAACTGGAAGTTGATTTGTCAACACTATCTTTATCTTCAGAGCAGATGTTTTTATTTTATTCGGCTTATAATTCCTTACTAAATGTAGTATTTAATTTCGATGTACTCCGTCTTTGATATGATTTAAATCAAATTCCTCGTCATTATAAATACCACGAATACAAATCAAATAGTTTTCTGGTTTGCAATTTTCTAATTTCGGCTAGCGTAAGGTATGCTTTACGCATCCGCGCGTTGAAAGAAATGTTTAATAAGGTAAACAAATAAATATTAGGCTTCTTTTTTGGTAAATTTTGATACCCTTTAGATCATAATTGCTCATTATTTTATAAATTACGGTTTCATATTTTTAATTTTATAATTTCTGCATGCCATCTTACCAGATTTAAACTGATGATCTGTAATCCGGAAAAATCGATAATCCGGAATCGCCGAAGTCCCGACGAGTCCGGATTAAAGACTTTTGACTGTACAATAGTGGAATCAGTATGAAAATAAACTTGCGATATAGGAGTATTTAAAGCCCTACAGGTGAAATCCATTAATTTAGTCAACAGTAATGCTCCACAAAGTTCCAATCGGGGAAGTGATATGGTTTTTAGTGGTGCAACTCTTGTTTTGGCTATCACTAACTGAACATTAATTTGTCCAGCATCTAACACAGAACGATAATAAATTGCAGCGGCGTAGGCCTTCTCTGAGGCGTCACAAAACCCGTGCAGTTGAAACTGGTTATCTGATTCAACCAACAAGAATCGTGAAATTTTGATACTTTTAATAAATAACAAATCTTCTGTAAGTTGTTTCCACTCACATTCAATATCTGGAGGAACCTTTTCATCCCACTGAAACTGATGTTTCCACAATCTTTGCATAATCAATTTATACCGAACCGTGATCGGTGCCAACCATCCAAGAGGGTCAAAGGTCTTTGCGATTATTGAAAGTAATGTTCGTTTGGTTAAGACTTCAGGATATGATGAATTGACTTTGAATAAAAACATATCTGAAGCTGGATGCCACAGGATACCTAACGTTTTTACAGTATCATCATTGTCTATGTTCAAAGAAACATTTGATAAGCACAAATCTGGATTAATTGAATTCAAGACTTCTTTGCTGTTAGAAGCCCATTTTCTTAGAATAAATCCTGCACGTGACAACATCTGATTCAATTGCATTTGTAATTCTATAGCTTCAGTAACTGAATTGGCTCCGGACATCAAATCATCAACGTAGAAGTCCCTAAGACATGTCTTGGAAGCCAAAGGAAAATTAGTTGCTTCATCTATGGCTAACTGCTGTAAACATCTTACCGCAAGGTACGAAGCTGATGCAGTACCGTAAGCAATCCTAGTTAATCGAAAATCCTGAATTGGTTTATAAAGTGAATCGCGCCAGACTATTCTCTGAAAGTCTGCATCTTTTTAGTATAATTTGTCTGTACATTTTCTCTATATCTGCAGGTATAGCTATTCTGTGAATTCTGAAACGAATAATTAATGTTGTCAGATCAGTCTGCAACTGTGGACCAACCATCAATTTCTCATTAAGAGAAATCCCGCTAGAAGATTTTGCAGAACCATCAAATACAACTCGAAATTTATCACCATTTTTATCTGGAACTGAATGGTGCAACAATGTACAGCAATGAATGGTGATGTACAGCAACATCCCTTGATGACCCAAGTTCATTTCCCGATCTACGAAATGGAAACTTAACAACAAATCTACCTGTTGAATCACGAGAAAAATTCCGCTTGAAATGATTTTCACATTCAATTTCCTCTTCTGTGTAATGCTTTATCTCCGAAATTTCTTCCAATTTCCAAAATTTTTCAAGCTGGAGCTGAACATTGGTACAACTAGCATGATTAGATACAATTGTCTGTGATACACTTTTAGTCTTTCCGATAATGACCCAGCCGAATATTGATTCCAAGGCTGTTAACGAATGACCCGGAACAGTTAAACGTCCATGAAGCATTATCTCGCCAAATACATCTGCGCCCAAAAGAATATCTATTGGGCCAGGCTGGAAACAATTTGTATCTGCCAACCACAAATGTTTGAAAGATGTCAAAACAGATCTATCAACTTGATATTGAGGAAGGTCACACGTGATCTTGGGTATAATTAATGCATTAACTGAAATGCTTGCGTTTTTATAAAATGGAGATGTTACTTGTAATTGAACTGAACCTGAAACCTTTCCAATTTTTTGCGAGCTCAGGCCATTTACACCTTATGTTTGCACTAGTGCGCTTTAACTGCAGTAAATTTACACAGTGCTCTCGAATAAATGAGCCCTGGCTACCTGAATCAATTAGCATCCTGCATTTTTGTAAATCGCCATTAATATCTTTAACATAAACAATCGCAGTAGGCAATAAAACTGCTTGCGCAACAGGCACCGTGGCGTTATTGCTACTAATAGCAGAAGTTCCGTGTTCCATGGGTATATGACATTTTTCATCATTTGAATTTTTCGAACATAACACTGTATTATGTGGCTTTGAACAATATTTACACATTCCTGCACGACATTTAAAAATGGGATGCGTTTTACTATCTTTCAAACAATTAGCACATAATTTATTCCTTTTAATAATATCCCATTTTTCTTTGATAGGGAGTTCTAAAAAACTATCACATTTAAATAACTGAGAATGAGAATTACTCTTACAATGAACGCACACATTAGCCACAAGTTGGGACGAAAAAGCGTATCTGCTACCTGAACCGCGAGTTTTAATTTCAGAAGGCAAAACTTGACTTCTCCCTCTGGCACCTTCGCCAAAGAGGCAATAGCATTCGCTCTGTTTAAAATAAAACGCTTGAATTCAGCGAAAGCAGAAATTTTTCTTGTTCGAATGCTCTATCGTCCACTCTTTTAGTGTTTCATGATCAAGTTTTCCTTTTTAACAGAAAAATAATCATAGTATCCCAATGCTCTACCGGCTGTTTAAGGATTTTTAATGTATCAATACACTGTTTGTGTTGTATCAATTAATCTCCGCAAACCTGAAGCTGATTCATGTTTTAGAACAGGTTGTGAAGTTAATTTATTTAATGCTGCGTTTATTATTTCTATTTCGTTTTCATAACGTTCAGTAAGCGCTTCCCATGCCTTTTCATAATTCGCGTTTGAAATTTGAACTGACTGTAGTAAAACAGCAGCTTCACCTTTCACAGAAAGCTTAAGATATTGCAATTTTTGACTGTCACTTAATGTACTATTATTTCCAACACTGGCAAGAAATAAATCCCTGAATGATATCCAATCAACATAATTAGAAGTAAACACTGGCAATTCCACGCGAGGAAGTTTCAAGCCGTTTGCATTAGCATTTATTATATCTTTGCCTGAATTTCTAAGTTTTCTTGATTCTTCCTTTAAAGTAATTTTTAATACATCTAATTTGGAAAATAATTCATTCATTTCTATTTCATATTTACTAAACTCTGCGTCAGAACAAGTACCAAGAATGTTATCGTTTAAACAGTTCACTTCAACACTTAATGCACTAACATCATTTTCGTACACTTCAATGGCAGAAAAGGAATTTTCTTGATTTTGTAAACTATTTATTTGTGAAATTAAACGAGTCAACTTACCCTTAATGATACGCTTTTGCTTTAAAATTGACTCCATATTCCTGCCGCTGTTTTCACAATCCAGACAAAATATAAATCCGTTTTCCCTGCACGAAATGTCCTTCTATACCAGAACGTTAAAAATTGTCTTGACACATCATCCAAAGAAATGCGCTGGCTCACGACGGACCATGTTAGCGGATGGAAAGTAGACTCAAACGTTCGTTACTGCGTTTATTAGACTGTGTGAAGAACAAGTTCGTACAATAGATATACAAGTAGTTCGGCGCTCGCAGGCGCCCTCTTGCAGGGAACAAAATCAAAATTTACATAAGGCGCGAACAGCCTGTATTCCTTATATATCACTCTCTTACACTCTCGTCATTGTGACGTACCATCGGTGTCATCTGATTACTTCCTGAAATTTGCATATGATTCTTGAAGATGTGTGTAGTGATTTTACAGGTGATATATTTATTTTAAATTTCAATTTCCACGTGAGTCCGAATTATCCTTAATTTATGGACATGAGTGTAGTTTATGTAATAGCTATATTTATTCTTAATCAATATGTGTGTGTGCAGTTCTCAATTACAAGATTTATAGGCAGAACTTATTATTATGTGACATTTTTTACTCGAGCATGTTGTTAATTATAAAAAGAATGTAAATTGATGTAAGGAATAACCAAGCAAAGTGTGGGGCATGTTTTGTATAAGAACTGAAAAGAATAAATATTGATTTGAAAGCTTTTAGCATGTGAATTTTACATCTGATGTATACCATAATGCTGTTATCTATTTAAGTTATAATTTTAAACAATGTCTAGTACTACAAACTAATTGTCATAATGAATCAATGTGCTTTCAAGGATAGTTCATTGCACTAAGCAGTAAACTATGACCTAATAAATGAAATAAAAATGCTTTAGTACCCAGAGTCAGGCCTAGATATTTTTCACCTAATGCTAAGAAGTAAATGTGTGCCCCTATATGGAGTCAACAGCCTTGTATATTCAGGAAAATAATCAAGTAATGATTTAGAGTTTTTAAATGAAAAGCATTAAAAATGTGCCTTTCTGATAACTAGCAAATAACACTGAAATGGTATAAATAGTCATGGAATCAATGTAAAATTATTGTACTGATTTTGATTTTTAACTTTTCTTGCCTTTAATGAAACAAAATCTTCAATTTTTTCCCCAAAATTATTTGATTAAGTAATTTATGTTTTATACACAGGTTTTTGTTGATAAAGTGAAGATGCATAATTTTTATACTCTTAAAGTTTGTTGAAGCTTTTCTCACTACTAGCCGCAGTACTTGAAAATGCTACCTTAAATTCAGTGCAAATTCTGATAGACTAAACTGTGTTCGTGAGTTACTTCTGAGAGATTTAAACTTGAAATAACTGGTTACGAAAATTAAACATTCTGATGAAATTTTCGAAGCATTTATATCTTTTGGATATTTGGGGTGGTGTTGCTTTTTAATTGACTTTGAAATTACCTATATCTAATTTTATCACTTTTTCATTGGTTAAAAAAGGAAAATCGAAAGGTATCTTGCTTAATTTTTCACATTTCCATTTTGTGTTTGAGACTAAAACATCTGTGGCTTCTTTTATTTCTACAATGAAGAAATATTTTCTGAAAATTCTTTTATTAATTCTTGATTTATTGATTTACCGTATTTGACGGCATATAAGACGCGCCTTTATTTAGAAGGCCACACACACAAAGAAAAAAAGTTTGAATAGTGCGTGCGAAAGCGCGGTACCACAATAACTTAAAATTTGGTTTTTTTTAGTTCTCACGTTTCGTAAAAGCCAAATAAACAATCATTGAATGCAATTACCAAACATATTTTTATTAAGGAAAATTAACAAATGTCAAGCTCTTTTTTTTTTTTTTTTTTTTTTTTTTTTTTCCGGTAGGTGGTGGACCGAAATGCCTTGCTGCTGCTCTGTTTCCATTCACTTTGGTGTAGTTTAACACTCCTAGTTTATACTGAATTGTATAGCTTAATCTTTTGCTTCCTGTAGTCATATTTTCCAGGATATTTTTTTTTAAACAAACAGTTTTAAGCACCGATTCGAACACATTTATACAGAGTAGCACCGATACCGACACATGTGTCGGATGAGTCAAAGAAAGTCTGTGTAAAGAAGGAAAGGCTCCATAGACGTAATGTGACCGTCGAACCTGTTCAAACTTCAACATCAGCTTCGAGCTTTGGCGCTTTTTGGCGACAGATATTTCACGCATGCGCAAAATAATTATGGCAGATAAAATAGCATTCAGTATTGAAAGTTAATCTGTGTCCTTCAGGTATAAGACACAAGTAACTTTTTTGAGACCAAATTTAGGGGAAAAAAAGTGCGTCTTATATGCCGTCAAATATGGTGTTAACTTTCCTTTTTCATTTATGTTCAAGTTCTGTTGATAAATTTAACTGTAAAGCTAAATTTCCTCATTCCTCAAGAATATTTTTTCTCGTCTGCTGTAAATAAGCAGATTATTCTGCTAATATCATTGCCTCTTTGTTTAATTCAAAGTTTGAAACAATATAGCAGTTTAATTTGAATCTACCAGATGATCATTATCATTCTAATGAATTAATTTAACAGGGAGACTCACCTCCCCCGAATGTTCTAATTACAAATCCTGTATGAAAAAGATAATGACTATGGAAGATATGAATGAATATATAACTATTTCTTGTGATTTTGGACATACTAGAAAGGAAAAAAAAGTACTGATTGAAAAACAATTTGATCGAATCTGAATGTCTAAAATGTGGAAACAGCATGTGTTTGTGTAAGAGAAAAGGACAAACTTACTGATTTGAATGGCATTGCCAAAAGTAAGAAAGTGCAAATTTGAATGATGTTTGTGGGAGCATGAGGAGAGGGTCATGGCTTAACAACAATGATTTGAGTATTCGTGATATTCCCAGAGATTGTGAGATATTGATTTGGATTACGTATGAATGAATATATTCATATCAGCTATTATCAAGCTATATGTATAGATAGAGAAAGATGCATCAGAAAATTGAGATTAGTTTAAAAAGTTTTTTCCCTTTAGCATGCCACCACTTAGTGCCCTTTTTTTGTGTGATTCTTGTTTGTTTATTTATTAAAAACTATTTTGATAAATATACTTATTATGTTACTTTCAAAAGAGACCATATTTACTTCCTTCAAATTTTTTAGAAAATCATCTTGTTTGTTCTGTATCAAGTTGTGATTTTTCAATCACTCAGGGCAGTCTGGATAAATACAGGTGGCATGGGCAATCAAATAAACACACGGACTGAATGAAAATAAAATCTGCTTCGGAGGAAGTACACCATTTCTGGCACAAAAATTGGCTGCTGCAAAATTTGCAATTAAGTTGACATTATCAGATCAGGGAGATTGACATGGGAAAATATATCTTAATTTATTATTTTTTTTATCATTTTTCCACATGAAATGTAAATAATGTACCTTTTATGTGATATAATATCTAGTTTATGTTGTTGAATCCCTTCCTGCCAGTAAGAGCAGGCGCACCAGTGGCCGAGCAGTAAGATCGATGATCTGGGTTCAGTTCTGCTTTAGCATTTTTGTGGTTTTTTCCATGTGTAACGTGTATACAAGCCCCCCCCCAAGAAGGTATCCCATCTGTAGGCAGATAGCTGTTGCATGCTTTGCCATAATCAAATAAACCAAAACAGTGTTGTTAGATCGTGCGATTTTTCGCAAATTTGCTACTTTTGACAAACTTGTGCTACTAAAATTTTGCTTTTTGCGAAAGTTTTGCAACATACATCATTTTCTTATGCTACTTTTTGTGACTTCAAAGATTTTTTTAATATAATGTAAAATGCTTTGATGTTAAAATAATGTATCAATTAAAAATAATTTATATATATAAAAACAGTTTATTTAGGCTTAAATAGAAGTTGGCATGGCAATCTGTATACATGTGGCCTTTATTTTTCAAGGCTGCAGAGCCTGATGCTGGTGTAACGAGAAGCGGGTAGGAGAAAAGGAAAACATGGAAAAGAAAGAAAAAAAAACTGCTTCAGGACCTTTCACCTCACCCCTCGTTCCCCGTGCATTTTGTTTTTCAGTCAGTCCGCCCCCCGTTCTATGGTGATAACATATCGAATAAAAAAACTTACAGCTTGTGCGCCATTTATTAAGTACCCAGACAGAGAAAGAAATGAAATTCAATCTTCTGATTTATAACATTGCTAAAAACTATGCAATGAAAATGTATTAAAAATTAAAGCAAAGTCATTTTTCTAAATAACGACACAAATAAATGTAACATTGAAAGAACAAGGCTTTCATAAGTAATCAGAATCTAAAATAAATCAACCTCGCAGGACGGAAATAGAATCGAATACAGTAACTTACAACACCAATAGACAGTAAATTTGTAATGACGTCAGATGTAATGTGAGCATGCGAAACTATGACGTCACAAAAATCACATGATCTCTGATGTCATTTGCGATTTTTGCGACTTCAGTTAAAATATTTCTGGCGACACTGTACCAAACTAAAGCCAATCCTCCAGTGTGGAAGGCTTGAAAGTCACATCAAGTACTACTGATGTGGCTATGTAGGAAGTGTCACTGTTAGCTTTCCTCAAATGTTAGCATAAAGTATATTTGTCTTGTTCCAAATGTTTCCTTGTCTATTAACAGGTTAGACCATTTTTCCACTATTTAAAGCATATATTTAATTTTCAAAAATATTTTTGTTATTCCTAGGACTCAAGGTCGTTCTCAGGGTATTGACTCAGATGAAGTGAGAATAATGCAGAAAGTTTTAGCGAAAGAAGTATGTTTTAATACTTTTTTTAACTTCTTTATATTTACTAACTCTAGTATTATTGCAATTTTGCTAGAATTCTCCAACTTTAAGTGACTAATACTTGCATGCTGAAATTATTTTGTTACATTTAAATTTTTTCTACATGTGTTAGCCCTTGTGACAGCATGTCAAATACATGGCCCACAGGCTGTATGTAGTAGTTCTTGACTCTCTTTTCTGTTGCCCTAAATTCACCTAAGAAAATAACCAAAAAAATGTAATTATAGTATACAGTCAAAAGTCATTAATTCGGACACCCATAATCCGGACCTCAAAGCTAAAATCTTTGTGCGCATGCGCCGCGTTGAAGCACGCGCAGAATACGTTTTCGCGTGCGCGTTTAATGTATAATGGACGGTATAAGCTAAAATTATCTAATTATCTATTTCAGTTAATGTTGATGATTGCGTTGTTCCTTAATCTTCGAATTGGATCTGGCTTATTATTTTTTGCAGACTGTAAGAGCAATTTTATAAAAGTAAGCTTGAACTTTTGATTATGTCAAATAGAATTTCCGATGCTGGAGCTCCCAAAGGATCTACCAAACAAAAGTATGTTTCGATGTTCATCAAACAAAAAGTGGAATTGCTACAAAAAATGGATAAAGACATATCCTTTGTTTATATAACCCTTCCGAAATCTGTTTATCAATTTCACGCTGCTCTGCGCGGGGGGGGGGACATCATGGCGCGCAATGATCTGGAAGTTGATCTGTCAACACTATCATTATCTTCAGAGCAAATGTTTTTATTTTATTCGGCTTATAATTCCTTACTAAATGTAGTATTTTATCTCGATGTACTCCGTCTTTGATATTATTTAAATCAAAATTCCTCGTCATTATAAATATCACGAATACAAAATCAAATAGTTTTCTGGTTGCAATTTTCTAATTTCGGCTATGTGTAATGTATGCTTTACTCATGCGCGTGTTGAAAGAAATGTTTAATAAAGTAAACAAATAAATATTAAGCTTCTTTTTTGTTAATTTTGATACCCTTTAGATCATAATTACTCATTATTTTATAAATTACGGTTTCATATTTTTAATTTTATAATTTCTGCATGCCATCTTACCAGATTTAAACTGATGATCTATAATCCGGAATCGCCGAAGTCCCGACGAGTCCGGATTAAAGACTTTTGACTGTATTTAAAAAAAATTAAAATTGTACTCCATATCTATACACATATATAGCTCAGATGTCAAAACAAAACTCTGAGATGGTCTCGTTACAAAAATATTTTTTTAACGAGTGTTGAAAAGGTGCCAGCTCATTTACTAGTGAAATTAACAGAAATTCAGTGCAACTCATGTGTAGAGCAAAAATTCAATGAAGTTGATATCCTTAAATTTAATAAATACCTACCTGTGTGTATTCAATTTCCATGTTCAGTGATATGTATCAGTGGGAACAGCTTTTCTCAACATGAAAGGAAACAAATTCTCAACAAGATCCATTCAATGATTTCAAAAAATCATTAGAGTGAGCACCAAGTCTCCATGCAATGACAAGTTTCTTCATTTAAGTAACTTAATTTCTTAAATCATATTTTTGTAATAATTTAATCGATTTCAAACTACCCAGCATGTGCTAAGCAGCAAAGTAAAAAATAAAATAATAAGTACAGTAAACTTTCTAATAACTCAATTAATACCTGCTATAATCTCTAAATAGAATGTACTTTACTGAATGTAGAATAAAAGAAATTAGAATTATTCATTTATGTATAATAACAACTTTATGAAAAATACATATTTGTGACTGATTTATTTCAAATATTTCTTTTCATTCAAAACTTGGTTCGTTAAATTTAAGTAATGTAACTACAGACTTAGGACAGTCTCGATGCAGCTCTTGAACTTTCCTTAATTCTTAACATGCAGCTCCTACTAAGGTATACATTATAACACTGCAGTCTGCAATAGATTTTTTATTTGTGTTAATTTTTATGTTCTTTGTTTGTTTGTTATTCTTATAACTTTGTTATTTTCTTAAAAATATAATCATATTTAAGTTCATGTATAATTCCTTATATATATATATATATATTTAATTAAATATGTATTTAAATTTATATGTAAATTTAATTTTTTAATTAAACTCAATTTATTCTTATGAAACAATATATATATATATTGTATAACTGAATGTAGATGTACAAAGCATATTTTTGACAGAGAAAGCCTATGGCTAAAATTAAAATTGGTGGAAATTTTTGTGCTATCGATTTTTATTTATATTTTTATTCGAATTTGTAAGTATTCCATAAAAAATTTAGTGTTTTAATATTTGATTTAATCAATTTATTTTCTAGACTTGTTCTAAATGTTGCAATTAGCACAAACTCCATTATAATAAAACTATGTCAAATGAAGTATATCACCTGAAATAGACTTTTCATGTTATATGCATTGTTTGTTTTGTTTCATGTTACGAAGGTTTGTGTGTGTTTATGTGTTTTGGTTTTTGAAATATACATCATTTCTATGTGATATGTAGACACACACCCAAAAACAAAATTGTTTTTCTGTTAGGTATATTTACAACTATCAATGTTTTAAAAATCTAGATCTTATTTTCTGAAAAATATTTTTTTAATCATAAAAATATATCTTTTTCATTGTAGCTCGTAACACCTGAAGAATGTCTTGTAGCTTTAAATGAGACTGATTGGGACATGCACAAAGCAATAAAATATATGCGATTACAATGTATCCTAAATTCACACATGATTCCTCTCCAAAATTTGAAACAAACTCTGGTCAAATGCAGTTGGGATGTTAGGCAAGCTGCTAATTATCTATTAGCTACTCATAACGTCAATGAAGACACAACAGAAGTGTGACAGGAACTGTGCAAAACTTAAAGACTGGCCACTTTATAATCATTTCAGTATCATGATGTATATTATGCATTTCAGTGCATGCTTGAAATTATACTTCTAAATAAGAATTAGTGTTCATTTAAAGCAGTCTGTCTAAATTTATATTGACCACATATTTTTGCTTTTTCCAGTATAATTTAGTTTAATGTACTGTTTGATAAGAAACTGTGTATATTTAAGACTATAACATATTGCAAATTCATACAGTATATTTTAATTTTATAATCTTGCTATGGCTTTTACCAATTGCATCTAAATGTATGAGTGTAATTTACAAATTTGATCTAATAATTATAAGTATGTTAAATGTAAATTTATTGTTTTATTTGTAAAATAATCTTTTGCAGAATAAATTACGAATTTTGTATAATTTTATTTTTAAACATATTAGCTGTTGCAGAAGCATTGGTCTCTATTTTAATAATGAATATCAGGTACTGTAATGCTTTTAAAAACCTTTAAAGTATAAATGTTTATTATGTTTTTGATAATTGTTTTAAAGTAAGTTTATTTTTGTTTTAAAATAAAAAAAATTATTATCATGTTATTCAATTACATTATATACATAAAAAATATATACATATGCAAATGGTTTAAATTTTTGTACTTTGAAGCAGAAGTGTTTTCAAAAGTTTCTATTATTCGTTATAGGTATTTATTTGCTGTAAACTAAACTTTTTTTAACTTATTTATTTAGCTAAGTTGAAAGTTCCAAACACTTTTAACAGTATGAGAACTTTTACAAAGTCCTTAGCTTTTGTAAGTTGTATATTTGTAATAAGATATATTTTTAGTGGAATTTATTGTACAGTTTCAAAATATTTGTGACAGCAGTTATTTTTACTAATGCAATTATATTTTGAGATATCTAACTCAAAGTTGATGTACAACGAAACCTCACATGTTGACTGTGACTGAAAGTGAACAGTATTTCTGAGAACATAAGAGTGTAAATAAACATTGGCCAATAGTCAACCATTAAGCCCCAACCACTATGAAAGATCAATCCATCTATATTTGTAAACTTTAAGGAGGTTTCATTGTACATTTTTTAAATGTTGGCTGTATGTGTAATATAGCCTACTGTATTAGCTATGCCTTATGTGGAACACTCTCATGCCACTAGTACAATCATATAGATCTGATTTTTTCTTCTTCTCATTATAAAGAAGCATTTTTACAACTGTGTAAAAACATTTTTTGTAGAAATCATGTATTTGTATGAAAAAAAATAAACTTTTTTACTGTTTGCATTTCTTTATCATTATTGCATGCTTAACAAATTACTGAAAAATTCCTATTTTCAATATTACAAATGTCACTTTATATGTGACTCCAGAATTAATCTATGCATTAATTCCTTTACATTTTGTGTAGTTCAGGTAATTTATCTGATAGGACTGTCCAGTGATAACGTGTTAATTTCTATTGTTAAAATTCCATTGAAATGAAATTATCATTTATTTATCTGTATTCTTATGATATAACCCATTGTATTGTTGAGTGTTTCACTCAGCTGGAAGACCCTGCAAATTCAAAGAAACAGAAAATGATCCCGGAAAATGTGTAAAAGAGTGAAAATCGAGACAGTGAAAACTTTTTCCAAAAGGTTAGAGAAGTTCCTTATGATAAAAATAACATCATATCAGTTGTTTCATATGATAAAAAATTTCACATTTTACAATTACCATTATTGTTTTTGTTTTTCTTGCATGAAGTATTTTATTCAACTCATTTCTAAATGCTATTTCATGAACCCATACTTATCATTTCCACTTGTTAGTCAACTGTCGTTCATTCTTTTTAAAAATGTAATTTTACTATCATCCCATCTTTTAGAAATGCAGTCGCCCCTCAAAATTAATATGTAATTTAGAGGTCACTGTGCTGAGTGATTTAAGTTATTTATTATAACTATTAATTAAACACTTCTCAGTCCTGTATAGTTCTTATATTAAATTTTGTTTTGAAATACTGTAGGAGTAATATTCATTCTGAATGAAGCATTGTTAATATTTCACCTTCCCAGAATGAATAGTTTGTTTATATATATATATTTTTTTTAAATACACTGACAGAATATTTTTGGGGGGGGGATCTGTCATTCATCGACTGAACTGTATTTTATGTGTGTTTTCAAAAAAATTTTTAAAACCCAAGATAATTAATTACATTTTTGTAGGGTGGTTTTATTATTGAAATTTTGCACAGTTCTGTGTTACTTTTTCTGTTAGACAAGAAAAGAGCTGCTTTTGTTTTCTTTATTTAATTTCATCTAAAATTTTATCAAGCAAAATAACAACTAAATTTTCTTATGTACCCAGCCATTATCATCATCATCATAGGTGCTCAGACAGCCTCTTGTGGTCCAGAGACTTCCTTTGAAGATTTGTCCACAATGACGCTTTGATTTTCTTCAGTTCCTCTCATTAATATCTAGAAAAATCTGACTCCACTGAATCTGCCTATCTCAACCACCTTACCTACTTTTTGGTATATATGCCAACTACTGAAATTATTTGGGGGATCTTTCATAAATTACGTTTTTTGTCCAAGTAAATAATGCTACTTTTTGTTTTTGATAAGCAACTAATTTTTTAATGAAGTACAAATAATTTCATTGACGAGTTTAAGTAATTTAATTTATTGCATAAGTAAAAATATTACTTAAAGTTTAATTCTTTTAATTATACAAGTTTAGCGTCATGGTTTTGTTTTAGATTTCTTAATCTTATCATTCAATACAGTATTTGCATATTGAGAATTGTAGGGAAAAAATTATGCTCTTTAAATTAAAATATATATATATATATCTTCTATACACAGACATGAAGGACTGAAAATTTCTAGATATTTAAGAAAAAAAGGGGGGATCTGTCCTTTTACCATATAATATACCTTTCTATGAGTAACTATAAAATTCAGAAGTATAATTTTACATATAATTCAGTTTGTGATATTTTTTAATAAGTGGATATTTAAATATCACTTTCTTAGTAGTGTCAATAAATGTGCATATGTCCATGTCTATCTGTCGTAGATATATTTCCTGAAATATTTTTAAATGGTGCCAGCTGGTTATGAAAAGTTTTTGCTGAAGCTCATTAAGTGTCATCAGACTTTATCATTATTTCTCTTAAAACTGTTATTACAATTCCAAAAGCTATTTATTCGGAATTGCAAGATCTACAAAATAATAACACAATTAAAGACATGCAAATATAAGTAAGCACAATATATACAGTTGACCCGAGCTTCCCAACTGATGTGTTGCCTACGTACTTCTAATAACTGACACACTGATGGTGCAGTGAACTTTTTCACCACAAAGGCCGAATAATGGAACGATGATATTGGAAAGCTAGGTTGCCTAGTGGTTCTCTGTTTACTTTAATTGCACATTTCCACCTACATATGTCACCTGCCAGAATGTCATAATGATCATTATACCGTTCTTCACATTTTGCATCTTGCAACTCGGAATATTACTAATACTCTTCTTCAGTTCCAACTCATCTGGCTTAAGAGTATCAGTTGATTTTTTTGAAAAGCTTACTGTTTTGTGCAAGAACTGCGTTCAAGCGAATGCTCGGAGTTGTTAGTAGTTTGTTCTTCTAAGTTCATCTTAGGAGTGTCTTATTGTGTTCTTTTCCAGAATATTGTTTTAACAAATGTGATAATTTGGGGAATATAAGTAGAGTTGTAACTGTTTGCTGAAAAAGATGCCTTATGTTACTTTAGATCTGTAACATTCATTTTATCTAAAGCTATTATGGCCATACAGAAAGGGGTTTGGTTTGGTTTAGTTGATTATGATGAAGAACACTAGAGCTATCTGCCTAAGTGGAGGAATGCCTGTGTGGAGGACTTTCTAAAAGAAACTGTATACATGTTACACCTAGGTAAAACCTTGGAAATGCCCATGCAGCCAACCCGTTTGCCTAAAATCAAACCCAAGTCGGAACTACCAGCGTCAAACTGTTGCCACCAAATATTATCCTCTTGTATTATATTTAAAGAAATTAAATAATGAAGAATCTGCATGAATGTATGTATGTTTCTCACACTGTGATAAAACAATGGTACCTAGAGCCATCAAAATTTGAATAAGTTAATCTTCCATAGAATATGGTCATGTGGAAGCCCTAATTTGAATTTGAAATTTGTTTTATTATCGATTTCATATTTTGTAACACTTCAATGAATTTTTGATTAACAAAATAAACGGTTTCAAAGGGAGCAATGGCAACACTGTAGGGGGGAAAAAAAAACATTTTTTTGTTCAGCGTGCGAAATTTTGTATCTTAAATTTTAAAGATGTGCTCATTTTAAAATTATTTTACGATATTGCCGTAGAACTGAATTTTACAGTTGGAGTACGTAGAACAGGATATTTTAATAAATAAAGGTAACACACAAAATATTTAAAAAAAACGCCCCTTTAGAAGTAATTTAAAATCTGAAACTTTTCAGTTTATTTTATTTATTTTTTTTTTAAATTTTTATTTTTATTTTTATTTTTATTATTATTATCATTTTATTTATAGAAATGACGTTGAAACTTTGCGAAAACGATCACCTGTAGTTCCAAGCAATTTTCCTCTCCCATTGAAGTGATTGCCATAGAAGGAGTGACTACCACTGATACGTATCAATGTATTTAATATGTTCTCTTTCCAAGGAATATTGATCAGTTTCAAATATTGTGGAAGTGGCTGCTGTGAAAAATTTTTTGCGAGCAACTCTCGGTGAGCCATTAAGCAACAAAAAAGCTTCCTCATTTTTTAACGAAGTTTGATGACGACACTACAATCAAAAATCATTAATGACTGTTACAAATTATACTTCTGCAAGTGTCTTTAATATTTTAAACAGCTTTCTCTCTTCGGTATTCGGAACCTCTGCTTCGATGTGAATGTGAGTGTGCGCCGTTATGTGGCTTTATTCTGTTTATTTTTGTAGTAATAGTTAATATTATTTAGCATTTGTTAAACTGGAGAGAGCTTTCAGTTTAATTACAGTTTTAGAAAAGTTACATAATGGAAATAAATTACAATTTCAAAAGTATCATATTTTGCAAGAAAATGAATATTTCTTTTTTCAAATTTAGACCTTCTTTCAATTTAGCTGCTTTAACAAAACTCCAAAATAGTATTAATATTAATATTATTAGTAGTATTAAATTAATATTTTTAGTCTGGAATAAAAAATTTAAAAAATATGCTATTAATTAGTAATAACTCATACCAGTGTTCATATTACAACAACATAGTCTTTGCCTAAGTGGTACATATAAAAACAATATTTGTTTCTTAATAATATTTTACAAGTTTATTAACAATTTATAACCTTAAATGATGCTTTGGAAGGGATATATTATTATGTTCCTTTGCTATAAATTTCTTTTACGAATGAACACGGTCACTTCCATCAAAAATAAAACGAAACTTAGCGAAAGAATTCGGTAACAAATGGACCCACCAATGGCCAAGCAGTACAGATTTGTTTAATGAACTTCAAAGAATTGTTGATTTAAGATTATAAATATGTAAGATACAAATATATGAGGCAAACTTCTGATTTTAACTGGCAATGACCCCCCTTTTATTCTTCATTTTAATTTGGTTATTTCCCCTTTCTATCATAAAAATATGACCCGCAATGCAGATACTTTTAATCCAATCGCTGAATTACGATGTCTATTGAAACCGAAACCTTTTGACTTTTCATTCGAACGTTTTCATCTGAATACGTCACTTTTCACTTTCCCCTTCATTCTTACTACTTACCGTTGCTTCCTGTCTTCAGAAACATATTTCACAAGATTATCGGTATCGAGGTAAAAAAAAAAAAAAAAAAAAAAAATTAAGAACAAGGCTTATTGGCTCCCATTTGTGTTGGATTAAGGGAAAATATGTGTCGACCATAAATAAAAAGGAAATAACTGATTTCGCGCACGTCTGCAAGTTTCTTCTTTTTTATTAAGTGCGTACGCATTCGTAATGGACTGAAAGCACACAAAACCGATGATAAAATGATCAAATTTATTCACACTAATGAAACTTTACCAAAGAATTTAACAATTTTTCTAAAGAACTTCACAGTTCTCAAAACTTTACTGGCTGCACGAGTACATTTCACAAACGTACTCATGCAGCCCTTCTCAGCTTGTACATCTCTTCTCATTATGTCAGAGCCCAGTCAGTAGCTACCATTTCAAACTAATAAAAACTTTAAACACAAAACACTATAA